AAAAAAAAAAGCTGCTTCGGGTGGGTCACCTATTCTTACAGCCTCGTTACAGGCGGGTCACCTATTCTTACAGCCTCGTTACAGGCGGGTCACTTCTTTTAACATTTATCGTACGAATTCCCGTGCAAGCGCTGGTATAATAGCAGAATATCATATTTTCTTCGCAGCTCGTAAACACCCAGCTGAGTAGCGCAACAGTTCTAAAAATAAGCTGTTGACGATGGAGCCATCGTCGTCGAAGTAGTGAAACTTTTCCCCCGAAAGTTGCGGTACAGCATTGGTAAAGTCCGTAGAAGAGCTCTGTCGGTCGAAGTCGGAGACAAAGGGTCGACGAGGGCAACCACACGCGAATGACGAGGGCAACCACACGTGGCTGACGAGGGCAACCCCAATCAGCAGTTCCGAGCAGCCAGCAAATGATGACGATGTTAATTTATTACCATTTGTGAAGCACTCGGGTCCGGTACGATACGAGAGAACGGTGGGCGGGCGGGAAGGACAAAGGCCTCTGTTTCCTCGGTGGTCCAACTTTTCTACCTTGCGTGAAACTGCGCTCCCTGAAACGAGCCAGCCCATCACCTCCTCGTGGTTTCTGCTGGGCAATGCATCAAGGACTGGCTAAATGAGTGGGTCGGGCGGAGAACGCAATGCACGTTTATGATAGGGTGGTTTGCGGATAGGGCAAATCTCAGTCGTCAGCGTAAAATGTCGTCGTAAAAGGGGGTGTTCAGATGATCAAAGGCGTAAGGCATGTCGCCGAAGAACCCTCTAGAGGCCATGAAAAAAAAGTTTTGGACAGCAGTTGTCCAATTTCGTCCAATAAAGGTCAACGTCCATGCAATGAGCGTTGACCTTTATCCGCCCCCCAACCCCGCCCCCCCTCCCCCTCCCACTCCGAATCCAATGATTCGCGAGACCACAGACCCACCCGCATGACATATCTCACACCGTCACACACTCCCGCTGACTCGTCAGAAAGCCCGAAGCATAAAACACCGTGAAAGGAACAGCGGGGAGGAAAAAAAAAAGCGAAAGCTCGCCTTTCTCCAGGAAGTTTCTCATTACCATCCCGGAATAATCTCTCGGACCCTTCTCGTTACTGCCTTCTCGTTACTCTCGTTACTGCCTTCTCGTTGCACTCTTTCTTCGGCCGGAATCCGCTCGATCGCATTCCTTTTTCCTCCCGCGTCGACGAGCGGCATCGCTTTCTCGATCTGATGAGCCTTTCCAGGAAATTTCCCGGTTAGCTTAATAGACCGATTTATTTATTTTTTTTTTTTTGCATGGCAACTCGATATAACAGTATTTACGACATAACGCAGTGTTTATTGAATTCGGGTGATCAAGTTCCCGAAAAATTGATGAGAATTAAATGCAAAAAAAAACCATACTACATCTGCTCTCGTCTACTGTCAAAATGGTAAGAAGATGAATAAACTTCCCTATTAATAAACATTTGTTAAAATAAAGATTCTGTCCCACTTCTAGGATGCAACGTTCCGGATGAGCTAATTTCTGATGAGCTAATTTAGATACGAAGCCTTTGATGCGACGCGACTTCTCCCTCTGCTCCCATTCCTCCGTTCATTATTAACCCATTGGCTCACCTCGTGACTGATTGGGCAAATGGATCGGAAGCCGTTTCTTAATTGATTTTTTTTTTCCCTGAAATTCGTTGAAGCGACGTCTGGCCGGATCCGGATCTAGGAGGAAAACCTGGATCCGGATCCGGCCAGACGTCGTCGACCCAGCTGTAACCATGGCAACCAATTAGTTGTCGCGTTGCTGCGATGCGGTTGCGAATACCAATCGTGAAATTAGAGGTTCACTTGGATGCTGAGTGGTACGATGTCAGTTTTAATGCAAAAAAAAGGAGAAAAAAGCAAAAAAAAAAGGATTTCTGTGCCGAGAGGGTTAATCGAATTGAGTGCGAGCCTCATGGAAGCCAGCTCATCGATTTTCCTTTCCTCAAGGCCCGAATGCAAAGAGAAACCGCCGGCAGAGGAACTTATTTTTCTATAAGAGATTTTTTTTTTTTTTGGTCTGGAGCGCGGATTAAGCCGGGAACTTGCCGGGAACTTGCCGGTTCGTTGGCTGTTCGCGGTCGACTTTTCAATCGCTGATCGTTTCGTTGCAGTCAGTCGGGGGGATTCAAGCGAGGCCGAACGAAATGCGGTCGGCCGACTTTTTTTTTCCCGCGGGGTCGCGGACGCTCGCGGATTCGAATGCCTTCCGCGGCGGAAACGACGCGGACTCTCCATCGATGCCGACCGACGGGTTCATTGGGTCGACGCAACGACGCAACGGCAGAGATAATTTAGTCGGGACGATCGAGCGAAGACAATCGAGCGAAGACAATGGAGAGAAGACAATCGAGACGAGCACGTGTCGGGGGGTATGAGCAAGGGCTAATAATCCACATCCGTCGCCTGCCACGTGCATGAGGAGCCTTCCATCCTCCATCCTCCATCCTCCATCCTCCATCCTCCATCCTCCATCTTCCATCCTCCATCCTCCATCCTCCATCCTCCATCCTCCATCCTCCATCCTCCATCCTCCATCCTCCATCCTCCACCCTCCACCCTCCACCCCTCCACGCGCAGAGAAACGTACGGCTCGCGTGACTCGGTATATCGGTCATCGCTCCAATGTGGGCACCGATTTTTCGTAAGCAGGGTCCCTCCGCCGAACAGAGCCACCCGTCCCCATTCGCGACCATGCAATAACCCAGCCGGGGGGCAAACAAGAACACTAAATAAAGCCAATGGATCTTTGTCCGTAAACTTCCTCCGACTCGAGCGGCAGCCGTTGCCGCTTTCAAAATACGTCTTACGTCATACCTCTCTCTTTCTTTCTTTTTTTTTCTCGAGAACATCTTGGGAAACTGCAACTCTGTCGTTCACGTAGGCAACCCCCCAATTCTATCCCAGGAATTCGAAACTTTCTCCCGTGAAGGAATCCCCCACTTCCGTGAGATGAGCAGAACGGTAGCATTTCAGAGGAAGGGTGACATTTCAGAGGAGGACTGCTCCCGGAATGCAATAAAGTTCTCCGATTGCGGAACCCCTGCTTCCTGCATCGGGATGCCACGTGGGCCTCAAGGGCCTCGAGGGACGCGAGGGATGTGAGGGACGTGACTCTTTTCGCGAATCCTGGCACGCTGCCATTCGTGCCCCGATCTTAGTGGGGGAGGGGGGGGGGTGGGGGTGGGAGATGGGAAGTTTTGAGTGAATGGCGAAATCGTATCAAGCACGTAGCAAGCCCTGAAAGGATCCATTTTCGAACCATTTTGAGAAAGCATAAAAAATGGTTGTACCTAGAACCAATGGGCAGTTCCAGATGTTCTATAAGAGCGATGAAGTTTCACATGGTTCTACATCTGGGCTGGAACCAATTCATATGGTTCTACGGTATCTGGAACCTTTTCAAGGGTGTAGAACCGTTGAAGAGTTCCAGCCTGAACCATTATTTTTTTACAGTGTACCCTACAGCTGAATCAGGAAAAATTGTTTCAGTTCGAGAGGATGGATGAGTGGCAGTGGGAGTCCGAGAAGCCCCGGGAGAGACTCCACCCGAAGACGGTGAAGAAGTTCACGGTCTCCTCCACCATGGACCACCGAGGCAGCCCATCGGGGGAATTCCTGAAAGGCCTTCTGGAGCGGGAAGTCTCCGGCCGGCCGAGCGAGCAGCCGGCGGGCACCGAGTCCAACAGGAGGAAGAGGCTCAAAAGGTTTCTTTCCGTGGTTTTTGTGAAGTTTTCTGGCGATCTTTCGCTTCCAAAGAGGGGGAAAAAATGAGTTAATCGATTGACGGTGAGCCACGATGCGGAAGGGAATGGCTTGAGGTTGCTCGAGTGACCCTCATCTGCAGGAATTAAAAATCAATATATTTTTCTATGAAAAATCGATTTAATTTACGTGTAAGTCAAGGATATTTAATTTCCAAGCCGATTGAATTCAGGCCCAAAATGAGTCGATGTCTTCAGGTATTATCATTACTGCAAGAGATTCCCCATTCAATTATGCACCTGCCTTTTATGTGCAAGTACTAATGAGTTCTCAAGTGCTGTTGCAGTAATTTTCTACAGGTTACGTCATGGTATTTCATAGCGAGACAATCAATTAATGCTCGATTAAATTTTTTTCTCAGCATTATCTTGCTTTCCGAAAGATAAATAAAAGCCAAATAAAAAGTCTTTCCGAAAGATAGAGCTTCTTTCATAAATGTCTGTAACGAGGAGTCATCGAACTGTCATTATCCTCAGAAATTAAGTGCTGAAGTACTTATGTGTGCCTATTAATTATTTTGGTAAGTAAATACTCAGTGATTCCTGTTCACGAGAAGAAAATTTAGTAATTAACCCTCTTAGTGTCACCTTTTCTGGCGTGGGACGTGCGAAAAGTGCGACGTGTTTCGCTGGATTTATTCCATACGCTAGTGACACGTCCAACACCGCCCTCTGTCAGCCTGACAAGGAACCAGCTGGGCCGAAATATCGGCCGAGGCACTAAGAGGGTTAAAAAATCACTAGCGATACCTCCATCTAAAAATTAAGAGCCTGCCTGCTTGAAGACTCTCATGTGTCCTCATCGCACACACCTCCCTTTCATCGCCCAAAACAAACGACCTCCTCTCGTCCCCACTAAACTAAAATGCAGCTGTTGACCTCAGGCCGGGCCCAAGCCTCTCTCCGGATGCGACAGCGGAGGCGAAGCGACTGAAGGTCGTCCCTCAACCCCTCGTTCTTCGGGTCGTCTGATCGACGGAGTCGATCCGGTCTTTCCTCACAGCGACTGTTTCTCTTTCGACGACCGAGATTAGACGAAATCCTCGGTCGACCCAAGAGCATCAACTCACGTTCCTCGTGTATCTGTATGAGCGTTCTCCTCTATTTGCTCTTGGAAATTTCGCAATCTTTTATTTTAAAAATTATTCTTGCTCAGAAACAATAGGTATTTTATTTTGTACATATACCTGAGAGACAGAGGGAATGAGGGAGACAGGGGTGACTGATAGAATGGATGGCATCAAGGCATGACGATACTGTAGACGTTTGATGAATTACGACGACAATCGCGAATGAAGTTGATGTCAAGATATCACATTGATCGTGGTGGTGGACGACGCCGGGCGGCACACGGCGTCATTCGAATCGCTGCAGGTGGAGTATGACGTCACTGAATCCGCCGAAGGGGCCGGGAGAGGTCAGTGAATCCGTGTGACGTCATTGGATCCGAGGCGGGGCCGGCCAATACTGGGGCGGGGTCATGTCGTATTGGGACGGGGGAACTGCCAGCGGGACGCTCACGCCCGGCGAGATCAGGCCTGAAGCACAAGGAAATGAGCGGATGAAGAAATTGGAATATGGCAAGGGATGACTCGATGGGGCAAACTTTCCCGCGGCTGTCTAGCCAGGGAATTTTCAAGATTGATACCTTGACTCGATTTAGGTTTATATATCTTAATCATCTAAAATTATATTCCGGAAAATTTCGCTGAATTTGCAGACACCGAGATAGTAAAAAGAAATTTCGAATATGCAATAAAAGTGATTTGGCGCTATTTGAGAATAAAAAATTACCTTCTGGCTAAATTAAATTCTGGCACTCACCGTGAGATGGAGGCATGCCGGTATGCATATGATGATGAGGATGATGATGCCCGGGCCCAGGATACTGGTTCATGTGACTTCCCGGATGGTGATGATGCGGATGATAACCGGGAGCCTGATGGAACGACGGATGATGGTGGTGATGCAGGGAGGCAGCGAGGTGTTCGTACGGCGGTCCCGAGCTCCCGTTCACGCCGTTCACTCCCGGCGGATTCCCCAGGGGATTCCCCAGGGGATTCCCGCCGCCGGGGAATCCGCCCGAGACGCTCATCCCTCCGACTCCTGTCCCTGTCATGCAGCTCATCCCACTGCTGGCGGAAGAAAACAATTTTGCATGAGGAATGGAAAATGGATCTTTCAGTTTTTCCTGCTTCTTCAGGCCTTCGCATAATTTTTGACTAGATGCATTTCTTGAAATTATGTCTCGTTGATATAAATTCTTAGAAAAAAGTTAGGGATAACATAAAATCTCTATGATCTGAGTAAAGACCAAATATTGTTTAAGAATGAAAATATGTGTCTTTATTAGCGCCGGCGACACCGGAGCCTTGAATACAGCTCCCTGTTATTTATTTACTTTTCAGGATACAGGTTTTCAGAAGGATCTCCTTCATATTGTAGAGCAACACCAATATCCCCAACTTTTTTTCTAGATTTTATGACATTGGAGACACATGCGCTCCCAGGAAAATGAAGGGGTGACGGGCTGGCCTATGTAATGTGATCTGTCACTATCCAGCCATAAATCATTCTAATCATAGGCTACTACTAATCACATATTATCAATCACTCGCGGAGTTTGCTGGCAGGCTACATCGAATAAGGAGGGAAAAAGCCTGTTTGGAAAATTTTCGGCGGGGTGAGGGAGACCAGCCACTCATATCACCCTCCTTTCTGCAAGCCTGTGCAGAAGCTTGTGAAGAATGTGTCTTAGCATGTATCGAGACGGGTACAAGTGAGCCAAGTCGCATGAGCACTGAAAGAATTGTAAAGGAAAAAAAGTGAGCCGAGCCTTCCCCCATTCATTTTAAAGGAAGTGTCAGTTGCAAGCTTAGGAGGCGATCAATCCAAATTCATAATTCTACTGGTACAGGTGTGCAACTCCCAGGCGACATCTGGCGCCATCTACATTCATGAGCGCCAGACACTTTTCACGAACCCCGTCTGAGCGAGCTGGCGTCAGTAAAGAAAAGAAACCCAGACAGAGCTTCCCTCTACTGATGTTGGAAGGTCACATTTGCTACGCTTCCTCCAGACCGAAGGGAGCCGCTAAGCCCCTCCAGCAAGCGCATGGCCGACATTTCGTGACAGGGTGGCACTCGTGATCGTGCAGGAGGACGGAGCGTCTTCCCCAGCCAGGCATGACGAAACTGCGCGAAAGTTTAACCCTTCTCTCTTAACCGGCATGAAGCAGAAGGTTTTCAGGCGTGCCACGAAGAGAAAGCGGTTATATGATGGAGAAATCCCGAGGACATCCAGCTTCCAGGGTCAAGCACACGAATGCAAGGCATTTGGCAAGCAGCGTGCAGAACTGCAAATGCTTGTCAATACGAAGTTTGCAGTACACAAGGGCGAAATCCTTTTCACTTCTAGGTAATATTGCCTTGGACAGGCAGGCTTTTCCCTCTCAATCTCTCTCCGTTCTCCATTTTATCCCCATTCATGCTTTATTGGACTCGCTGAAAAGGATATATGTGCCTTGTATATAATTTATGCGTCGCTCGAAATGGATCCCGCTGCCATTACACTTGAGAAAAAGGTACTGGGAAAGTAGCAGACTTTTTTTTTTTTGGGGGGGGGGTATTCAGGCAAACTGAACCCGCTCAGATGGAAGGATTCTATGGAATGTCTGTAGAAATCCGTAGGAGCATTCTTAAGAATTTCTACGAGTTTGATAGAAAATTGCCAATATATATTTTCTAAAAGAATTTTCGATAGAAGGAAGAACTCAATAAAATCTCTGTAGCGTATAGAGTTGTTTGATTATATTTAAGTATATAAGTACACACAGAAGATTGGTTAGAATTATGCATAACTATTAATATATGAACTCTTGTTTCAGAAAATTTTAAATAAATTCTTAATAAAACATCCTTAGAACCTTGCGAAGAGATGTAAGTTCAGTATCGGGGACCAGGGGCATGTCAGCACTTGCCAGCCAGCCCCCAATCTTCAAATCTTACTTTACTCTTCAAGTCAATAAGCTTGTCCAAATCAATAATTATGCCTATGCCCCATCCCTCCTTTTCTTTTTGGTCTCCCAACTTTTGAGAGCATACGAGTGAAGGTAAATTGTTTTAAGGTTTAATTAGCTGCTGCAGTTCTCCAATGGCCATTGAAAGTTTATGAAGTAGACTTCATAGCAGCATTCAGAATTCATGAAGCGTAGAGAAGGGCCGACACTGTTCACATCAGTACAGAAAACTAGCTTCACGAAATATGAAGTAAAACCATGAGTCTTTCCATCATCCTTTAGTAATTTGACCCTCGTCAAGTTCGAGGCTTCGCCCCGCTCTTCCGTTTTACGATACTCACTGGCGTCATGTGTAACTTAAGAACAATGAAAGCATCTGACCTGTATGGTGTGTCGTGATGGAGCGTCGTCTGATAGAGCGAAGGATGAGAGGCGACCGGGTGGAAACCATTGAGCAGCCGAGGGGAACCCGACGGGGATGGACTCGCTCCCTCCTGCTGTTGCGGTTGAGGCTGTGGCGGCGGTGGGGGCTGGGTTGCTGTTGCTGTTGTTGCCGATGGTTGGTGCTGCTGCTGTTGTTGCTTCCTCAGCTTTTCCTCTCGCCGCCACTTTGCCCTTCGGTTGCTAAACCACACCTGGAACCGGAAAGCACAGTCTTATTTTTAGTCCATTAAACTAAATTTATTGCATAAATTTGAATTTTGGCGGCATTAGCGGGTACGAGCTGAACGAAAATAATGACAATTTTGCTGCACGGGTGTAGGAGCCTTTCATATTTTACAATTTCATTATCGCTATTTTATTATGATATCCTCGCAAAAGCGAATCTACGTGGCATTGACTAGCCCCAGGTAATAAAATGCTGAAATAGCTTTTTTTTTAATTCCTGGGAATGGTTATACAACATTGTCATATTTCACAGTGGATGCTGGCCTAAAAACTGTGTACGATGCCTGGGTTTACTTTGGGCCACGCTTTTATGCGGTCTTCCATTCCATCGGATAGAATCTCGGATCCCCTGCCCCCTTGCCTTCTGGCCTCTGGTTCCAATGACGTCACCACGCAGGAAGACCGTGCGGGACTGAGTGAGCTGCAGGCAGCTCATTGTTCACAGGGGCCGCCTTCGGGGTCGCTTCAGAGCCGCGCTTTGAAGGCCAATGAGAAAGCATTCGAGTCACTGGTCATTTCAGGCCATTACTGGTGCACGACCACAAAGAAAAGCAAGTTGTGATTCGCAGATTACGGACATTGGTGAAACGCTTTGAGAGATCCACTTTTTTGCCTCAGTCAAGGAAAGACCTCTAAAGGCCCCAATCTTCACAACGCAAATACTCCATAGGTGAAGACCTGCATTTGCACTGTTGGCCATCTTCGCGCGTTTTCCTTTCTGTGTAATACGGAATGTGACCTCGAGGTCCTTGGAATTATGTTTCTTGTTTGCTTAGTCTTGGATCTTGGACTCCCGATTATTCAGACAAAATTCGAAGTCAACGGACAGATACGCATTTTCGGGGAGTTTATCTGCTGGTATGAGTCCTTTAAAAATCGTGCAGTGATCGTTGACTCAAATCGACTCATTTTATATCCTCACTTTAGCACACCAACTCAAGAATTGCATGGGCTCTGAACTGATTTACCCGCACGAATCTCGTAGCGTTGCATATGCAAATGCAAATCGATTCAGGAATACTCCTAGCAAGAACGAACTATTTATGTTTCGTATTTTCGGCTCCAAAGAGGAAAAATGCAAAAGACTTTTGTGTTTTTCTTTTTTCCCTCAATTTTATATCCAGCAAATAGTTCAATTTGCTCTTTAATTCTCCTTTCGAGGAATCAGCTGCATGAAGTCCCTCTTTCCTCAGCGAGAGACATTCAAACCCACAATGTAGTATGAGTAAGTCAATTATCGGTCAATTATCCGTTTATCGGTCAGTTTGCATGAAGCTTGCCTACATGCCACGCCTTTCATTTTTTAAAAGTCGACATAGGAATGGGCTTACCTGGATCCGAGCCTCTGGTAAGCCGATCTTGGACGCCAGCCTCTCCCTCGCGAAAACGTCCGGGTAATGTGTCCTCTCGAACTCTGCACAGAAAGAATTCACTGCTCCTTCATTTATCCTTCCGAATTTCGATGTGCACGCAACAAATGCATTTTATTGTTGAGAGGAAATTAAGGAGAAGATTTACTTGGGATATATTTTCATCATTTGTGCGGCACCTCTCAAAAACTATGGTTAAATACAGCCGTTTTATCACGAATGAAAAACACAGTAAAGTAACTTGTGATCACTGCTGGGCTGAGGAAACGCCAGAGATGTAGACGGGCGGACCTCAATTCCTCAGGCATTTACAGGGTAGACGCCATGTTGGATCCCGCAAGTGGCTCGTCATCGCTGCCTGATGCTTCGCATCTATTTATTATTGCTTTCCTTCGGAGAAATTTCAGGAACAATTTCTGAGCTCTGAGGAATCTATCCTTTGCTTTTGTTGTGAAAAAAAAAATTTTTTTTTGGGGGGGGGGAGCGGTGACAGTTTGCCAAACAAGAATAAAAAACATGGATCAGTTTCTATTTTCATTATTGAAAAGTTCCATTTAAGATGGAAGAAGGAAAATCCTTCCAAAAGGAGATCAACTGAGTCAACTTTAGCTTAAGTACGAAAATAAAGCCTACCCATTTCCTCTATCGCCGGGATGGGGGTCTAGTGGCTCAATGATTGGCAGAAGAAGAATGATGCAATCGATAGATAATATTTGGCAAAATGCCTGTAAACTATAAAGATATGTCTTCTTTCGTTGGGACTGCGACGTAGACAAAATTTTCGACTCTCTCTGAGAATCATCTGGCCGCCGAGGCCAGCATACGGCAAGCAATCAGATGGGAACGAGAGTGAAAAATTATTGGAAATGAATGCAGAGGCGTTCCTCGGTGGCGGATGAGCCTTTCGACCGCTCTCTTCCGCGTCTGTTCGTAGACCAACATCCATAAATTTAATCCAATTAAATTAAATATAAATAATAATAATTGTGTGTGCCGATATCGACTCAGTGGGAAGAAGCTTCCAACCTCAATTTACCACAACTCCCAAACACGAGGAATCCGATTTCGATTTGATCCTTAACTTAGCGACATTGCTCGTCGGCTCTCGCGTCGAATCTCTTTCTGTATGTGGCTCAGCCCCATCCTCCAGAAAGTTTCATCGCCCGAACATTAACTTCGGAAGAAGTGGCCTGGAATGGGTGGGTTTCTTCCCGTCCATTCTCTCTTTAATCAGGGCAATAACATGGAGGGGATTTCGGTCCACCCACGACAAGCATCTAATGCAGATGGAGTGGAGGGCACGAATGGACGGAGGTCGCAGTCTGTCAGAGGAATCGAGTTCCTGTCAATGTCAATGGGTTTTTCAGGGCAGAACAGAACATCTCCTTATCTTTCCTGATTATTCGACGGCATCGAGTCACTGTCATTGGTCACCGTCATCGTGGGAGGAATTTCTGGGAACCCGGGACGATTGACGCAAAAGAAGGCAGATTGAAGGAAGATAGAAGAAAAGAAGGCATTAGGCCTCCAAGCTACCGTTCGCTTTGTCGGAGTTTTTTTTTCTTCCTATTTCTCTGGATCTCATGAATCTTTTGAACTTAGACGCTGATTACCCATGTTCCACAAGCTGCAGATCATCTAACGATCTCCATGATTTGCACGATGTTCGATATTTTCCTGTCTCCATCGAGACAACTACGAGCCACATTGAATTTCCTCCCTCGTGATCCTAACTACAGTTGATCTGTTGAGTTGAGATCCTAACTAGAGAACTAAAGTTGGAAGCGAAGCGACCCCACCTTTCTCGAGGCTGTCGATCTGGTCGTTGGTGAAGGAGGTGCGATTTCGCTGGAGTTTCCTCTTCAGTCGGAGCCGAGCATCGTCCCCGTCCACGGATTTCTCCTCTCCCCCGCTGTCCAGGGATTCTACGAGAAGTGGAAATCAACATTTAAAAAACGTGCACCACATGAACGCATCATGAATTCTTTCAGGATTCATGGATACTTTCCTACTGTTCTGTTAGTAAATAGTATTGCTCCCTACAAAGATATACAGAAGTTGAAAGAGCCTGTCCCAGTCCCATGTGAAGTCACCCCCTCCCCCCATTACACACCCCTCTCTTTGCAGGATTCCGTACCATTGGTACCTTTAAGTACTAGGTGCCTTTCATTCCAGAAGTCTTTCGATGTAATAGATATGACAGGCATTTATAGTGAATACATGTACATGCTGCAATACGAAGTATATTGGAGTTAATTGTGGAATTTGGGCTTTCTCCGTTGTCCCTAGGATTACGGCAAGCGATAATCTACTTCCGTTCGGTGAAAGGAACAAATTGCGGAACTAATCCCTGCCACGAATTGCTTGAATTCCACATGCAACCGAAATTGGGAAAAAAAAAGAACTGCAACGAAAGCCCAATACTGTTCTCTAGCGATGAATATACATTTAATACAACGCTAACCAGAGCGAAGTTACACAATTTCATGCCAGACGTACGAGCGCACAATTCTTTAAAGAGATTTTGTCCCTAAACCCGATAGCCTCTTCTACGCAGCGGACAGCAGCTTCTCTTAGGCGCTTTGTGTCCAATACCCGGGAGACAACTCTGCTACTTGGCTACAAATCTAAAATGAGAGATTTGGATTGAGAGAATCAAATATCGAGTTATTCGATTTCTGCCTGCTACACGAAACAACACTTAGCTCGGCTCAGCGTAATCGAATTCTGAAGAGGAGGAAATGCGTTGTAGGCCGATGACTCTATCAAGAGTGTGTGATTGACAGGGCAACCCCCCCTCATAAGCCCCATGTTATAATCCAGCATTAACAGCATGGTATGGTAGATGGTGTAGTGTTCGTGTTAGGATGTCTCCCTGGGATTGGCTGTCAGGGGTAGAACCGGTGAAGCGGAAACGACAGATAAGGATGCCATCCCTTCCCTTCCCTCCATTATTCTCTCTCTCCCTCTCGCATGTCTTCTCTTGTCTTGCCTCAATTTCCGTGGAATTTCTCTCTGCTGAACCGGTGGCGGATACTGATTGTGGGGAGGGGGTGTGTGCCTTTAAGTACTGCAATGTTGGTGCGATTCCTACTGAGAAGACAAGACGCTCAGCTGCCGTGGCATTACCCAAGGGATGATCTCTTGAGGCCGAGACGAGAGAAACAAGATGTTGGCCGGATTTTTCTAGTTTTCGAGTTGGCTTTATTTACCCAGAGGTTAGACGGGGATGGAATAGAGAAAAAAAAAGAGACATAAATAGGAGGTCAAGGAATCAGGCCATTGGCTTCCGCTTCGTCGGATACGTCTAACCTTCAAGAAAAATCTTTTTTTGGGATTACTATCTGGGATGGGATTTCATCCGAGTAAGCCTCTACGGGAAACTTTCGCACATTCAATTTCTGCATTACTACTGAAAAGGAACTACTATGTACTAGGTTCTGGACTAGATGTCTTGAAATGCAATGAGACCAAGGGCATCGATTCGAAGAGTTTGCCTCATTTCACGAAATATCATTGAATTGTAAGCACTCTGCCCATTATTCAGGAGATTCAGAGATTGAATAAATATAGTAATACGAAATGGACAAGGTGGTATTACAGAAAGGATAAATCGAAGAGCACCTGCACCGGTTACTTTCAGCAAGTAACGGAAAAATAGTTAAACCTATGGAATCAAGATTGCAATAGGTGATGCGAAAAACGTAAGCAATTACTCAATAAAACAATCCATGTGCTAGATGAAAACTTCTGACGCAAGCAAAGAAGCAATCTACATAATGTAAATAAGAGCAGGTGAAGCTGAACGAATGAAACCATTAGATTCCAAAATGCCCAACTAAGAAAATAGGCGACACTATGAATATTACTGAATAAAAAATGTCAGGGAAAAAAATGAAGTCAAAGCTATACCAGCTGGTCACGTCTCGCAATAATATGAAACTATTATTCTATTTTGTTATGCTCCTTCTTGAAGCCAGATGTCAGGTAATAAAGGGCACATTTCACCAGGACCCAAAAATGAAAATTAGTTGATGACGGGCGGGTGTGCCCGTAGAGAAGGCTTTGCATCTCTCTCTCCCTTTTTTTTTTTCCTTTCTTTTTTCCTCCCTCCTTCTGTGTCCCCTGTTCTCTCTTCCCTCTCTCTCTCTCTCGGTCTAGGAATTACTTCCAGTCGGCCGAGCGTTTTATCCTTTCCCCCCTATCTTTTTTTCCCCCCCTTTCTGTTACACGACTACAGGCTGGAGCAGGAGAGGGACGTTCAGACCGGGCGACGAGGGTCCTTCCTTCCTTCCACACTCCACTCTTCATCATTCAGACCTAGGTTATATATTATATCCAGCATATATATATGTCCACGTATGCATGCTTTCATTTCATGCCTTCTGCTGCCAACTGAGGGCCTGTTGGACCCTCGTGTTTGTTTAGGGCCTCGCTCCCGGCGTTTTCCCATCAGAAAAAAACGAAGGTCAGCAGAGCCTCGCTGTCGGCTATTCTTCTTGATTTCCTTGGACAAGCACTCTCACTTCTCGTGCTCTTGACCTGATTGGTATAATGGCTGCCCCTCGAGATCCCTCCTCTGCAATCCCTTTATTGTCAGCTGTGGATCGTCAGCGACAAATTTGAAGATCGCGTAGTTCTTGGCTCTTACTGCTGCCGGCAGCATAGCCTTGAAGGATCGCGTTACTCTTCCTCGAAACATCTCGTCCTCTTGGGGGGAGCAGAGGATGGAGCTCGCAGATTCAACCATCAAGGATTTACAAGCTTAAGCCCCCCCCCCCCCCCCATCTCCTCGCCTTCAAAACTTTTCTAGTCCCGAGTTTCGCTTTCCGAGCGCACCATCGCACTAGAGTCTAGCTAGTGTCTGCCTTCCCAGAAACTCCACTGATTTCATTTTAAAAGGGTTTCTGGAATTTCATTTTCCTTTTTAAAAAAAAATTAGAATACTAATTCAATTGAGGGTCGAGGTCACGTAACAGATTTTATCTCTCATGTTTCTGAAATTTAATTCACTTTCTAAGCAAATATGAAACACTTGAAAAAAATACGGCTGTCGTCGTCGTTGCTATATTCTATTCCAATTTTGTAATTTTCGTTTAAATTCCATATTTTCCGTACTATTCCATCTAATTTTTTTTTTTACGATTCGTCAGTAGTAAAGGAATCTCACAAAACAACCATGAATGAAGGTCCTAGAGTGACGCGAGAAGGGCTGGGAACGACTGCTGAAAACGATCACAACGTCCACCCGGGCAAGCGATATGGCAGATAAATGCAAGAGGGGACCCGGGAAAGGGAAATGTATCCCATTGATCCCGGAAAAATTTAAGCCGGTCTTTGAATCCGCGTCCAAATCCCGGCTTTGGAAGCCGGGAATTGAATCAGGGCCCAGCTTCCCTTCTCTCCTCTTCCCTTCCGACCCCCCCCAGGTCCCAAGGGCGTAGCTGGAAGGGGAACCGACAAAATCACCGGGAATTACACGCCCATTAATTTGAGGCTTCTCTCTCTCTCTTTCTCGGGGTGTTGACGATGATTGGATCTACATACAGGGATTGAACATTCTCCCCACCCCCCTGGGGAATTTTACAATATAAGCCCCTTTTCCTCTCATCTTTTCACCCATGACAAATTTACACA